AACTAAACATCTCCCGCCAAATTCTAGTGTGAGGCAACAAGCCCGCGAACCGCAGTCGCAGGCAGGTGTTAATTGGTGCAGACAGTATATAAATAGCTGATTAGCGCGACCAGCTTGTGTGGCGGAAATGTGTTGTGAATGTGTAACTAGATCTTCCACGGCCATTACAAGAGTTACACGGTTGTCGTAATTTAAACACTAATTAATCACCCTTGCACTTGTAATGTGTAATGTGTGTTGACGTTACAGAGAGTCTTACAACTGTGTCGAGAGTAAAACAATGTCCTCTGTAGCACAATAAAAATGTCTTCATTAAGATGTTTTTGAAACAGTACTTAGGTTTTTGTATTATGTATTCACCACACCATTTAATATGTAAAATGGCTTAAAGTGTGGTGTAAAAAGCGGATAGAACCCGAAAAGACAGGTACCAAGCATAGTTTGATTCAATGTAATTTTGTTCTATTTCAGCATTTAACTCATGAACTTTTGACTTTTTTACACAAAGATTGTCAATTCTAAGATAGTTCCCATCGCATATGAAAAGTTTGAGATATCTCAATTAAAACCTAACTTTGTATATCATCTTTAAAACATCATTATCATTATGAGATGGGGACGCTACATAGGTGCGTATCTTAACTCAAATATGAGTGAAGTATGAGTCTAAAATTGTGTGAGATGATATGTGTATATTTTTTACTGACTAAGATCAGCTGTTTTATTAGTCAGGATAATTTGCCCAATGATCAGGGACAGCTGGGTACATTTTCGAACCCACCAATAAAGTAATGAATTTTCACAGGATCGATCCAGCGACCTTTAATTGTTAGGCGAGCACTTTAACCACTCAGCTACCCAGCCAGTATTCTTAGTGACCTTTAGTTTACTTCCAGAAAATTCTAAAATGTAAATGTTTTTACTCAATCTCAAAGTTTTATGAAAGAACACCTGATATTTTATGCTCAAACGGATTAACAGATTTTACTATCAATATCCAGAAACAACACTGAGTTACACTTGATCAGACACGTAATGATAATTAAAAAGCAATTAAATTCTCGCTTCAAAAGTTATTAGCTTGCAAAGCTGCCTGTTACACAAACAGGTCGACAATGTTTGCTCGCTGCTTATTGCTTTTCTGCTATCAAAAGGTAAATACAATATTCCTTTTACAGCGACATTATGAAGGTATAATTATTTGTGTGTTGGTAATCTAAATGTTGTGTTTTTGTTTACTTACAAACGAATTGACATGCCGCAATTATTACAGGAAAATTTATGTCATTGATGTAATAAAAAATATATTATCTATACAATTCTTTATGAAGTGTTCTGCGTAGCAAAACGATTTAGTATGCCAGATCTTCAACTTAAATCATTATAGCCGCATTTTATTCAATTAGGTCTTCTACAAACATTGTCCATGACAAAAAGTGGAAATCATTTAAAATGTCAAGGAAACTTTAACCTGAACATATTGTATTCAGGTGAGATGGTGCCTAAAAGAAACTAAAACATAAAAGGACTGAGTTAGAATTGGTTGTGTTAGTCATATTACGTAATTCGTTAATTTTTGTTACTTTTTCTGCAATTTTAACTATGTTCAGATTTTTTAATAGTATTTTTATTTCATATGCGTTTCCAGCAACGCCAGCGTCAAGTATCAGGATCATTTACAGTACCAGATGTACAAATCCATAGAAATTTTTTTTTCCTAGAAATAATATTTATTTAGTCACCCTTTAAATGGCAACGCGAGTATTATTGTCATACTCAGCTGAGTACTAACATTGAGTATAAACCTAACTCAATGGTACTAAACAACAAGCAACCCTTACATATTTACATTTTTAGATCCGGATAACTGTGTCAGATGCAGTGTTCTGTACCCAATGCCCACACCGATCCACCGATCTCTACCTAAACAAACAACGGTAGGCTGTTATATCACCGACACCTACAGTCGTTAGGACCATTAGCCCACGGCTGGTCCTGTTCCATCGTTCCAGTAGTCCAGTGTTCCGCGGCTACCATTGTAGCTGTAACACACACAATGGTAGCCTCGTCAATGGACCAATGGACTGACCACTTTGAGCTACCGCGCCTACAAGAACGGTTCTTTATTGTCCGTTCATCAGAGGATACCGAGGATCTTCGGTTTCGTAACAAGGTGCCGAGTGTGGGATTAAATGGATCAGGATGTGCTGGTCATCTCGAAATGAAAATAAATACGCATTGGGGCTCTATAAAGAATATGTTTTGGAAATACGAATGTTACAAATTTAAATGTTTCTAAAGCACAATTTAAGAAAAGATTTAATCCCAACTATGGAAATATGCTTTGTTAAAATATTTCCAACTCCATTCGTAGAATGTGTCTAGTTATTTCACAATGTTCATACGTTTAATTGAGTCAGAATTTTTGAAAAATTTCAAAATACCTAAAGGTCACGAATTAAATGAGCAATCAAAATTTGAACCGGACCCTTTTACACAGAATTTATTACATAGCTATGAGATAAATTCAGTGTAAAAGGGCCCGGTTCAATTTTTGAGTGCTCTTATAAATATGATGGATATCGGCGTGTCAAAATATATTTTTAGCTCAAGTTATAATAGTTTGCTTCAGATATGTTCATTGACGATTACATGTATTTCACAACTCACAAGCCACATACTTCGCGGAAATTACGTATTTAAAGAGAATATTTTTCATTGTACTTGTTCTTAGGAGCAAAATAGATCACCCAAAAAGACTCTATAGATCCTTCCAAATAACTGTGAATGCATGTTCAATATTTCTTCAATTTAACCGTAGATTAGGTAAGAATTTAATCATGTAAAAGTTGTATTTAAACCGTTCGCACTTCATGATCATGTTATTTTCGCGATGAATCCAAGTCTCAAAGCTTTCTTATTTTCTATATAAACTTCATTTAATATACATTCTATCCACGAAATAAATTAAATCAAAGCTTTCTTAAGGCAGTTTTCACGGATTGCACAGGAAACTTATCTGTCTTGCCCTTCGCTGAGGCCAGCCCTGCACCCTAGGGGAGGTTGACATATATAATGTATGTTGGGGTGGTCCTAGGGCTAGGTATTGTCCAGCAGACCCTCCCAGCATCCCTGTCGTATAAACCTCATCAGCTGAGAATTACAATTTATTGCGTCATTAGAGGTCAGGGGTTGGCAACACTGTGTTACTTGACTTGCCTAGTTAATGTCTTTATTACAGCGAGGGGCGCTGGGATAGGAGATGAGAAACCGTGGATTTGGTTAGAGCTTTGATAACAATTGTAGTTTGGCTGTGAAATTGTGTGTTTTAATTTTCTGTAATTAGTGTCCTACTTATTTTACGGGGGGAGCGAGCCGGTCTAGTGCAATGTTCGTGCCTAGCGTCCTAGAAAAAAAACTTATTTTACGGAAAGTGAATGAAAATAGTCTAATAACACTTTAAACATGTATTTACACTTATACTGTTAACTCAAAAGACCGCAAAGACACAAGAAATGTTGTAAAGAAGATTAAAAAATTAAACGACCATTTTTGAAGAAAAATTTAAAATTCTCGTTTCAATTTTTCACATTGTTTCTTGGTAGATTAAAAAGAAATTTTTTTTTAGGTAAGACTCATAATTCAGGTATACAGGAGTTTAAAACACGAGAAATTTTAATATGTCAATGTATGTTTATGAATACACTTAATGACAGCTTACATGATAGGCGAAGCGATATCGTAAGATGAGCAACTATTGGCCAAGTACAACTGAAGCAGAACTTAGATAAAATAGAAAAGGGAGGACCCAATCCGAAAAAAAATATTTCGAACACATCCATCAGTATTCGATCCCGTAAATGACTAGGACTATAACTTCTTTTGTAAATTGGGTATTTGTGATATGGATAGTTTATTATGCGTTCTAAAACAGGTTAACGTCAAATTGTAGTTATTGTGGTACCAAAGTTTGGACTGTTCCGGTATGGAGAAAAAGAAAGTAGTAATGCCCTTAAGTACAAAATAGATAAGATTATAATTACAGCAGTCCATTCCTTAATGGTGCGTTTCATTGTACATCTAAAACGGCAATGAACTCTAACTATCATGATTTTTTTTTAATTTTACAGGCCTATCTCAAATGGAGCATAACAAATAATTTTCCAAAAATGTGGTTCTAAACACATTCTTCAGCATCAAGAAACTCTGAAGACCCTCACAATAAACTGCGGAGCGCACTTCATCAGCAAATTCTATTGCAGAACTCTTTGAACTCTTGGATATTTCACGCCTGATTCTTCAACAGTGTTAACAGACTGTACAAACGTCTTGCTCTGTCCAAGATGGCACAAAACATTGGCGGCTCAGAGCCTTTGACACAGGCACGAACCTACATCTCCGCAATCTATAAATATTTGGTCTCGCGTATTTGTCGTTTGTCCGGCTCGCGCTTGCGTCGCCCTTTTTTGGAATTGTTTGTGAAGGTTGAATGTGACTGTAGATTCTGCATAGTTTGCACTTCATTAGTATGTTAGTCTTGTGAAGTTATTTTGTGAAATTAATTTAAACAATTGTGGCACAACGATCTATATATGGCATTTCTGAAGAAGAACATTGCTACGGCGCTACTTATAATTTTCCCTTGGTCTATCAGATACAAATTTATAATAAAAATGCGAGATTGTTTGGAATATTTAAACATAACTCAGATGTAAATTGTATCTTTGATAAGTTCCTAATATGACAGGTGATAAAATCAACTAAGATGTCTAAGATGTGTAAAAAGACAGCTAGATGTCGCCTTATCACAAATCCACTTGGTATGATACGCATAAACATTCTTAGCAGTCACAGATAGACCCATTTGTCAGCTATCACTTCCATAACAAAATGTATATTTGAACACCACTTGAGACACATCACGGTTAATTTCTATATTTACTTAACACTCAATTACAATAGAACATTAGTAGTGGGGATAAGTGTGTTCTGGAACGTACCTTTACAGGCTTTGCGGTGTGTGATGGGCTTGGTTGGGTCACGGTAATATCCCTCCTTGCAGTAGTGGCAGTGCCTTCCTGCGGTGAAGTGTCTACACTTGAGGCAAACCCCGCCACTGACTCGACCGCTTAGCTTGTACAGCTCCATGTTAAAACGGCATCTGCGGGCGTGGCCGTTACAGTTGCATGCTGAAAAAGAAAACCACAAGTTAGAGAGGTGAAGAATAGAAGAGTAGAAGGTTGGTGTTATGAGGTTGATTCATAGTGGATGATTGTTCAAAGCTAAACAGGAATTAAAATATTTAATAAGTTAATTCTTTACAGTGTTAATAGGGAACTAATGGTCCAAATGTATCTAAATCATGTAATACCATTAACTTACTTAGCATGTGAATAGAGAGACCATGCACAAAAACAAATGACAGCGATTCGTATTATAATACAGTTAGTTGTTTCAGCTTGCCAACCTAGAATGTGTTGTATCATTAGACCAAAGCTACTAGTTAATCAAAAGAACAATTGAAAATTGTACATTTAATATGTTACTCGTTAACAAAGATCCTAAGTTTACTTTGAATCACACACATAATTTCTTTTGAGCAATACCCAGAACATACTTAAGTTGCGTATCGTACGGCGAAGATGAGTGTTGAATAAATGAAAAGATACCGTGGTTGCTGACTGAAATCAGCTGATTCTGTAGCCAGGGCCATTAGTTTAAAGCCTATTGCTAAAACCACCCGGGTCAGAACCATCAAAATCTACCGACTTCCTAGGATCGAACCGGTAACCATCTTATTAGCAGGGCATCACTATTATTACTCAGCACATATTAATGATACAAAACATCACCATCGTATAGAACAAACTGGTTTTAAAACAAAGTAACACAATTGTTTTACAACTGACAACTTGGTAACTTCAAGAGAGAGTTGTATGTAATGTATGACAATAAAGCCACCCAGTAGTGGTTGTCGAAGGACTGTAACATCTAAATTACTCCATAAACACCGGTATGTACGTGGCCATTCCATCTCCTGTCTACCTAGCACCAACGATATAAACAACTCAGTTAGTTTTTACAGTTAGTTTTTACATCGTTGCCTAGCACCACACTAGCGCTCCTCGTGGCAGAGTGAGGAACTACAATACCAAGGTGTTGATGTACGGAGGTATGATTAACTCAGTTCCCCGCCCTAGGCAATAGATGGTGCCACCGCCGCCGGTTTATCACGATGGCTGTGTTTTTGCGAGGGAAAATGACCCGCCACTTACTACTCTAGTGTTACTAATAGGATGTAATTTTGTCGGCCCTCTCAAAAACTGCCTGATTTGTGTAACAGCCTGGTCCGCCACGCTTCACACCCTGAGGCCGCGGCGGCTTTTGGATTTGATATGCGTCAACATTTTAAATTTTTTATTCAGTTGTTTTTTTATCCAAAGCATATTTAGAGCGATTGCGAGAGGCGCCTTGTTGGAATTATTGAGGTTAAACGGTTCAAATCCACATAGAACAAAGACACATCCAAAGATATTTTTATGATTAGAACATATGATGTCTAGAACCACGGTTGTTTAACACAGTGATTACTTGAAAGAGGTACAAAATACTATAAATATACCAATGAAATGCAACAATTTTTCCGGTACCATCTATTAGGTAGTCTATAAAAAACCAAAACCAAAAATTTCTTCAATATCGTTGTCACATAACACATTTTATCACCAGTAAAATACTCCTCTTAAACTTAACCTAACAAATAATACTCTTTCAAAATAACACACACACGCAGCTTAGAGCTCACAAACTTCAAACACAAGTTCCAAACTGTATCTACAATCTTTGAAAGCTTAACGTAAGAGTCACATTCCAATCGATTGTTTATAAGCGACATTCTCTATTTGACCTTTAACATCACCTATCTCTCCCAAAGGTGTCGTTAATCGAATGCCAGTCCTCGATACATCGATTACACCTATCGATAGTATCGCAGTGGCAACTTGATAGCCCTTATCTGGCCGCTGGACGTGTGTTATTCTTATCTATGGATCAGCTGTTTGGAGTGTCATGGACAATCTGTTATGTTATGCAAAATCGGTGGCGGATTTGGTGGCGACGGTTGTGGGTGGCGACCCCCTGGTGGGTCCGACTGGATGTGGCAAATTGGGGGCGTCGGGGGGTCTTTGAAAAATGAAGGGGGGGCAAATAACGTAGGAAGAGTATGGAGAATGGCAGGAAAAAGAGTGGCAAATGTTCTAGAGGTTTGTAATTAGCTTCTATTCACACCATTGCTAAAACTAAGTTTTTTTATAGGGGCCAATTTAAAACCTGGTCTTGTTGGAATTTAACTTCGAGCTTTTATATACAGTATTAGCATAAACAGTTTAATTCTTTAAGACATCCACGCACACTTTGGTGCGTATTTTAAGCTGGATATGAATGAAAGATTTATAATGGAGTAAGATGATCTGTGTTGCTTTATTACTGACAAAGACCAGCTGTTTAGCGTGGAACATTGCCCGATGGCTCATGACATCTAGATACAGAATCAACCCTGTTTCGGACTGAACCAGGAACCTTGAGATTTGAAGTTTGATTTTAGCTAATGTCTATTACATGTAAGACTAGTCAACTTTAACTGGGTAACGTTTAACGTTTCTTAGTAAGTCGCAACAATATCAACTAATTCTTTTAAAACTTAGTGGACTTTTAAAACTGAGATATTAATGTCTTAGGAATTTACCCTAAAAAGTCAAAAACAAATATTTGAAATATCATGTTCTCATTCCCTAGTACTCTATGTTATAAGCATAATTATAAATTTTCAAAACTATACCTTTATAAATAACGCCGGCATGCTGCTACAAATGATGGTATGTTCTGTCAAATTTAATATTGCTCTAATGGGAATAAAATCCAATATGGCTGCCACTGATGAGGACTTTTAAGATTTGTATCACTGTGCCTAAAACACTAATATATAAATTGACGGATTACAAGGCTATGTTTAGACATCCATCTATGTTTTTAATTCCCCAATAATATGGTATGTAACATTATTTTCAACAAATAAAAATCAAGCACGACTTTGTCACATTAGTTAATTTGACTGGTTTATTGATGGCTTGTTATTTTGATTGCTCTATGTTTACGCGAATACTTTGAGAATTTAGCACACTTTTATAAACCAAGAAAATAGAGGAATAGGAAATTAGGATCATACTTCTCTTACAAATATTTTAAATAAAGTTAAGGCGTTTCACCTTGGTTTGGTCGACGGTGGTTTTACCTAAGTTTGTGTTTAATGATTCGCAACATAAAACCGTTCCTGTGCCAGTTTTATATCTGTGATCCGATCAGACGTGGATGTCAAGATGGTTGTTAAAGTGGAAAATTTACAGTCGAAATATTTCCACTAATTGGGAGTTTAAGGTTTACAACCTACAGAATCAAAAGGCAGTAAAATAATCCGCTGCTTTTAAACTGCAGTAAACTCGAAACATGGGTTGAGTCTTTTTGCATTTGGACTGATATAGTTAATCTTGTGAATCCATTAATTAATGTCTCCAGAAAGTTTAAGTAGCAGACTGTGCAGGCATATACAATAAATTAGAGAGAGGACGAATTATTATTATTTTTTGTAATTTATGAAATATATTGATGAAATTCACATAATTATTACTGTACTTGAAAACATTATTGAAATTGGACATTTCAGTTACTTTTTATGAGCTAATTGGTATTTTAACTTTACAAACGACTTAAATAAAAACAATTACAGTCAGTCAACATTGAATTTTGTTTTAGGTTTAAGGTTTTACAGTGTTTGGGATTTAAGGATACATAGACTTGTGGGTACTGTAATACTAAGGCAAACAAGACTGCGTTGAGTTGAACAATTAGCTTCTATACATTGCTAACAATATTAACGTAAAAAATGACAATTTCCGTTAAACTTTAAAAAGTTAGTAAAATTGTTGACTGTTAATACACTACAGTATTCAATAGTCAATGGTTGAATGTTTCAAACAATCTGAAGCCCATAATCCGTCATTCACACACACTCTTCCTCTTGCCATTGACTGTATATTAATTAACAGCTGTGTCTAAAGAATATGTCGGCCTTAGTCACTAACGAGACTACAAGATCGCGCCACTCATCCTACACTCATACTTAGCTTAAACTGTGTATGGTCACCATTTCAATTACTAGGTGGCTTTCTCAGAGGCATCCACAAAATTGAGCGGAGTCATCAAGGGTTCATATTATATTGTTTTTGTCATTATGCAGTAAAAACAGTCGTTTTTAATGCATGCGTTGCGGGTCGAAAGTAGCATTTTTACTCTCTAGGGAGTAAACGATTGCATGTATCGAAAATATGTATCGATTCGTGCTTCGTAATCATTTTAACCTACACAGTCTACAGTCTCTTCCCATAGCATTATAGTATTGCAGATACATTAATCTATTCCCACACTCAACACTGCTCACCTTTAATAATTCCTTCACCACCCCCTACGTCGTGAAACTGTTTCCCTCTCTTCCCATAGCATTTTAGGATTGCAGATACATTAATGTAATTGCCAAAAACAGTTCCCACACTCTGCACGGCTAGCCTTACTAATTGCTTCGCCATTTCCTACGTCATAGACCTGTTTCCTTCCTTTGTCATAGCATTTAAGTTAAGTATTACAGATACATTTATCTAACTGCAAAAACGGTTTCCCCACTCTGCACAGCCAGCCTTAAATACTTCCTTCACCACTTCCTCCGTCGTGGGGCCTGTTTCCTTCCCTTCTCATAGCATTTTAGGATTGAAGATACATTATTCTAACTGCCACAGACGATTCTCACACTATGCTCATACTTTACCACTTCCTAATCAACTTCCTACGACGTGGACCTGTTTTCATCACTTTCCATATCATTTTTGTATTTCAGATACGTTAATCTAATTGTCACAAACATTCCCCACACTCCACACTGCTAGCCTTTAATACTTCTTTCACCATTTCCTATGTCATGGGCATGCTTCCATCCCTTCTCATAGCATTTCAGCTTTGCAGATACATTAATCTAACTGCTACAAACGGTTTCCAGTTCCCACACTCCACACTGCTCACCTTACTACTTCCTTCACCTCTTCCTACGTCGCGGACCTGTTTCCCTCTATGCCCATAGCAATTT